TTTTATTAGTAATTTTAAGCTGGGCGTGGTGGTGCACGCCTGTAAGCCCAGCACTCTGGAGGCTGAGGCAGGAGGATTGCCATGAGTTTGAGGCCGGCCTGGACTACATAATGAGTTCAAGACCAGCCTGGGCTACACAGCGAGACTCTGCCTCAAAAAACTAAAGAAAAAAGAATAATAATTTTAAATATAAAGCATACTGTGAAATACAATAAGGGACTGAAGGACATTTATAAAAGTATTGTGATACTGCTGTAATCTATCACATGTAGCCACGTAGCAACAAGAGAAACACTGTATTTGTGAATTTAAAGTGTCATAAATAATAAGGTTTATTTATATTTCACTGGATAACTTTAAAAATCTGTCCAGATAAAATAGCATTTTAACATTGATTTCGATAGTATTTTGGATACCTCATTTTTTTTCTAAGCATGGAACCCATGCTACTTGAAATTTTAGATCAGAGTATTTGAATATTAGAAGCATATTAAGAGTTTTGATAACTTCAAAATCCTTAGCTAATATTCAGATTTATTTTGTTTGTCCTAATTCAAAGGGTTGATTTTTCTAATAATTTTAAGTATTTTTAAAGTTCCGTAGATTTGTAAGTAGCAAATATTTATACTGTTTAAAAAGCTGAAATTGAAGCTGGTAAAAATAATAGATTGGTGCCTATATAGAAGTACAGTTTTGGTTATTCCATAGGGTCATTATAGCAAGAGAATAAGAGATAAAGTGGTTTCCTACACTGTACTCTTGCCCATTGTTCAGATGAGTTAAATCTGAGATAAGAAATTTTTCTGTTCTTTTATATTTGTTCAGTACTTAACAATTTAAGGGCTGCTTTTCAATCTATTACTTCATTTGGTCCTCTTCCAAGTAGAAATGGCAAGGTTTTATTATCTTGTTTTAAAAAAGAAACAACAAAATCTCTAAGTTTTAGAGGTTAAGTGACTTTTTTCCATTCATATGGCTGTTTGGTAGCAGAGCAAGACAGAATCTAAGTGTACTTCTTAGTCTAATTGTCTTTCTGCAGTATCACCTTGACCTCTTGCAGTTTTAGGAACTGTAGGCTATAAGACAGTGTCACTTCATGAAAAGGACTGAATGCACCTAATGTATGTACTGAATTTGGACAGAGATCTGTAGCTTAAAGAACTTGCATTGCTTTACTCCCCTTAAAGGTACATCTGGTGTTAAGAAACTCATTATTGCATTGCTACCTTAATGAGATAAAAGTCCTTAGAGAAAGAGGTAAATCATGAGAACGTAACTTTAAAGAGTTTATTACTCCTTGATGATAATAGTTCTCACAACACTTCTCTGTACATTTCTCCTCTAGTCACTTTGGCTCTGTTGTCCCAGATTTACAGATAAGGAAACAGACTCAGAGAAGGTAGACCTTTGTAGCGTCACACAGCTCATAGATGAGCAGGTTCTTGTCCTCTGTCTCTTAGTTGGCAATACTGCTTTCTCTGTGAGGCAAGCTTAAAGACATTTGTTTAAAATGACTACTGGTTACAGATGCTGTGGCGATTTCTGGGGAAATATCATCACCTCCTCTATTTTCAGTCAGCCATCGCTCCCAGCCCCAACAACCCTCTCAGCCCCAGCGGACCCTGCTCCAGCATGTGGCTCAGTCACAGACTGCAACACAAACTTCAGTGGTGGTGAAGTCCATCCCAGCATCCTCCCCTGGAGCAATCACCCACATTATGCAGCAGGTTGTATCTTCTTTTTTCCCCTATCTTCTCTGACTGCCTCATTCCTGAAATAAGGTTCAGTTTCATCTCCTATTTTAAGAGGAGAAAAAACTGAATTGTAGTGTTTGTATAATTCTGTCATCTGTGAGTAGAGAAAATTGAGGGTCTTAATACCAGAAACTAATTAGGAAATAGTATTCTTAAATCTTCTGTAAATGTTTAGCATTTCAAAAGGGTAAGGAGGTCTAGATGAATCTAATAACACCAGAATTGGTCATTTTTGTGTATCTCACTGTTGTGGAAGAATTTATCACTGAAGTAAGTAAGATACTCAAATGAAATAGCATTTGGCTTGTTTACCTGTTTGGTGTTGGTTTTTGTTGTTTTTGTTCTGTTTCATGCTTTTATAATGATTCCTCACGGGAACATTATGAACAAGTAGGAAAATAAATATTAGAGTTTAAACTATATATGACACATTAAGGAAGAAACTCAACAGGAAGTAGAATGAACTAATGTAAAACAAACATCTGGAATTAAGGGTAATGGGGAAAGGAAAAAAATAAGTCAATAAATTGATTTTGTGTCAGACACTGTGCTTTGAGCTTTAAGTATATTAATTTGTTTGATTTTCATTATGATCTTGCAAGGTGAGTGTATTATCCTCTTTTACAAATGAGGAGACTCATGTTTACAGAATTCTTTTAAGTAACTTGCCCCAGGTGGCAGAGGCAGGATTTAAACCCAAAGTGAACTGCCTCCATTATAAGTTATAGTATAGGTGTCAGATTTAAGCATGACTTTTCTTTAATAGTCTGGTAAATCAGCATCACTTAGCTGGTAGCATCGAACCTAATTGTAGGCAAATTACCTGAAAAGCAGTAAGAGGTGTTGAATTGAAAATTGGTGTGTGTAAAATCATTAGGATACAGGGAGAGTTCTGTGAATCTCAGTTTTAAAGTTTACAGTAGCTTTGTAGTATATGACAAAACAGCAGGAAGAATGGGAATAGGGTGGACCTTGTTGTTTCCTAGAGGAGGCCACCTGGCCAGAAATTTTGCTAGGTGGCAAGACTTAGTCTGGCCCTTATATGACAGGTCTTGACATTGACCTTCTCCACATACCTAGAGGTGAGCCAGGCTAACTCTAACTCTGTCACTCAGGATGGTGCCTCCTCCCAATGCAGTTATAACTGACCCCAGGCAGTCTCCCTTTCCACTGACAGGAATCACCTGTCCCGTTTCTGGGCTCCCTCACTCCTGGGAGCCAGGTCTCTAGCAAGTTGTTGATAGTAGGCCTGGAATCTGAGCACATGTAGACCTTGCTGAAGCCCGGTGAGCCATCCTCATTCTCCTCAGGGAGGTCCTCTGTGGGGGTTGGGGTGGGCACATCTCTGATACAATGACCTTGACCTTGTGGACAGGGCTGGATATGCACACAGCCAAAGTAGGGTTCTCAGAACCTTAGCTTTTCTCTGCATGCCTCACTCCTTGGTTATTGCATTCTTTCTTTAAACAGGTGAGCAACTCTTAGGGATAGGCTACATAGCTGTTTGTGGAGGCAGGAAGCCTGTCTCTCCTTTTTGGGATTGTAGGTTCACCTTATTTCTCTTAATCTGTAATCTGTAAAAGTCCTCTAGTACCTTAGTACTATAGTAGTGAGTGGAGTATATTTTGAAGTATTCCATGTCAAACTTCAAACTACAAGAGTTTTTACCTAAAACCCCTTGAGGTTTCTTGGTCCTCTTAGGCTCTTTTGAAAAATTTTGAATGAATCTCATAAATAAGTCTTTTCCAATTCAAGGAAAATGTAGTAATGTAGGTGTTTTTCTTATTTCATTCTTACTTTGTGCCTTTTTTACTTAGGCATTAAGCAGTCACACTGCTTTTACCAAACACAGCGAGGAACTTGGAACTGAGGAGGGCGAGGTTGAAGAGATGGACACTTTAGACCCTCAGACAGGTCTGTTTTACCGATCTGCCCTGACTCAGTCACAGTCAGCTAAACAGCAAAAACTTAGCCAGCCCCAGCTGGAACAGACTCAGCTGCAAGTGAAAACTCTGCAGTGCTTCCAGACTAAACAGAAGCAGACCATCCACCTGCAGGCAGACCAGCTCCAGCACAAACTCCCGCAAATGCCCCAGCTTTCCATCAGGCATCAAAAACTCACCCCTCTCCAGCAAGAACAAGCACAGCCCAAGACAGATGTACAGCACACACAGCATCCCATGGTGGCCAAAGACAGGCAGCTTCCTACCTTAATGGCACAGCCCCCGCAAACGGTAGTACAGGTGCTTGCAGTGAAAACTACACAGCAGCTCCCCAAACTGCAGCAGGCTCCGAACCAACCAAAAATCTACGTGCAACCCCAAACCCCCCAGAGCCAAATGTCGCTCCCTGCCTCATCAGAGAAACAGCCGGCAAGCCAGGTAACAGAATATTGATAGCATGCAAAGTTAAACTTCTCTATTCATGGAAAAAAAATGAGATCATCACTGATATCATGATAGCACTGCTTTCTCCTGGCAAGAGGAAATCCAAAAGCCTCATTAACACTGGTATTACTTTGCCCTATCAGAAGGTTGACATTAGGGAAGAAAGAAAACATAGCACTCAGAACTTGATTTTCCAGGCATTTTTTAATGAAATCACTTCAGCATTGACCAACAGTGCATAGAAGCGATATTTCAAAGTTTTTATTTTTAGGTATAAAATATCTTCATGCCTGTAAACTCTTTATTTCTGTGGCAGTAATGCTAAGTAAATTACAGTCTTTTAAAGAACTTTATTGAACATCTTCCTTTGTAGTTTATGTCATTGCTATCTAGTTAATAAATATATCTTCTAGATTTATCTTTAAATTACAAAAGAATTATTGTCATCAAAAGAAATATTTTATTAGCAAAAATCAGTGGCTCTGGAGCAATATATATGTGTATGTGTATATTATAAATACATATATATATGTTTGTGAAAATGTTTTTGAAGCAAAAGATTGAAATACAAAAACCCTACTGCTTTTTATTTTAAAAAGCCAACGATTATATGAAATAATTTGAGCCAGGTTGCAGGTGTACTCTTTAGAGATATAAATCTCAAAAGAAAACTAGGCTGCTGTGACTTTTTTTTCCTTTATTGCTGTAAACCTTGGCTGGCTGAACAAAAGTTCTTTCAACCCCTCCTCTTTCCCTAGGTTCCTTAGAAGTAACCAGATCCTTCCCATCCAGCCCTCTTATTAAAAACATCGAGCTTCAAAATGTCTTCCTAGTATTCCGCACAAATGTTTCTTTTGCCATATTGTTTGGGGTATTTAATTAGTTTTTCTCAAAGAAATGTAGCTGTAACACACACAACCCCAATTTATTTTCAGGTGGAGCAGCCAATTATAACCCAAGGATCCTCTGTTACAAAGATAACTTTTGAGGGGCGCCAGCCTCCCACAGTTACAAAGATAACTGGTGGCGGTTCTGTGCCTAAGCTGACATCACCAGTTACAAGCATATCTCCCATTCAGGCCTCTGAGAAGACAGCAGTTTCAGACATTTTGAAAATGTCTTTGATGGAAGCTCAGATTGATACAAATGTAGAGCATATGGTAGTGGATTCCCCAAAGAAGGCTCTTGCCACTAGTATGCTCACTGGTGAAGCAGGATCATTACCCTCTACCCACATGGTGGTGGCAGGGGTGGCGAATTCTACTCCTCAGCAACAGAAGTGTAGAGAGTCCTGTTCAAGTCCATCTGCTGTTGGCCCTCTCCTAACGACCAGGAAAATCGATACACCAGGAGTGCCTACAACAGGCCAGTTCATGCGTATTCAGAATGTAGGCCAAAAGAAAGCTGAAGAGAGCTCAGCAGAAATTATTATCCAGGTAAGAATTGGAAAAAAAAAAAAGGGAAATCTTGGGCATGTGGGAGGTTGTGGGTTTGGTGCATTTTGGAATGTCACTGGAAATGTCAAGCCCAGATGGCAAGACACAGAGATTGTCTTTGAGATGGTGTTTGTCAGGTTTGGTTTTGTATATTATAAATATGTAAATTTGGTTTCATATATTACAAATATATAAATTTATATTTGCTTTTTGGAAGTGAATCATCAAAAATTGGTAGATATTGTCACACAGAATACAGTAGAGGCAGGAAAGGGACCCAAGCCCATGTGTCAACTTGATTTTATGGGTTACAAGCCATACTTGTCACTGTTAAGTCAGCAAGTCAACCAAGACGATCAATTTCCTGGGTTTTCATTGTGGAATCCTCAATCTTTGCTCAAAAAGTCCTGGAATATAGCTAAATTATACTTCTACACAAATTAATTTCAGGAACTGCTTTTCAAGAATAGTCCTAATTCTTGATACAAATTCATGGTTCTAGGAACAGACAAACCTCAGTTAATTGGAATATTTGGAGAAACATGTTCTACAGGAATGTTTCTAAAATACTTTTACATCTAATTTGGGATTAACTATAAATTTTCTTTTTTATTTCAATCATTTTAATAATTTTGTTATGGTTATTTCCCTGCACTGGTAAATACAGACCAGTTAATGTAACAGAATTATTTATTGACAGTATATCTTCCTGTACTTCACATTTTCTTCAGTCTAAAGCCATCTGTCATCTTGCATAATAGATCAAGATTAGAGAATTACTGAAGCCAGACTATCTAGCCCTTAAGAGTTACGTTTTTTCCCTTCTCTCCTTGTAAGGTATTAGGTTGTTTTCTTAATATTTGTTTTCATCTAACCTGGTATGTAGTTTGAAAAGGTATTAGAGAAATACATTTTAGTTAATTGGGGATTCAGATTTATTAATGTGAATAGTTTAGAACTTACCATAAATTCAGTGCCATGTGACATGGAAGTTCTTGTAGTAAACTTCTCATTTGCCATGATACCAGGCTATGAGAGAATTCAAATTGATCAATATTAAACCAATTAAGATATAATTAAGTATGTGGGCTTAAAACAAGTAGAAATAACCACCTAATTAGTCAAAATAATTTGTTTCCTTTTATAAAAACAGATTTAGCAAATTAATTATTTTTTATTTATTTACTTATTTTTACATCCTCAGCCCAGCAAATTAATTCTTAATGAAAGGTTTTGTTGTGATTTAAAAAAATTTTCCCCAGAAAAGGTTGGGTATGTAATGGAAAAAGGATGGTTTTCTGGCTTTGCCTTTCACTACTTTGGGCAGTGCTGTTTATCCTCACTCTGCCTTAATTTCCTCATCTTTAATGGGAGTGAGTAATGCCCACATTATAGGATCACACAAAATTAAGCACCTAGCACAGTATAGTACTTGTCTCATAGTGATTGTCCAATATACGGTGACTATTACTAATTTTACTAAAAATTACTGTGGCTACTGGGGGTGTAGATCGGTATACTCACTACATTGAAAATAATTTTGGGTAGTTTATATGGAAATTTTCTGCATTTTACTAACAAGAGTGAAAATTAATATGCTTCATATCAAGGATGATAGCTTATGAGTAGGTTCTCCGTAGAATTCTCATGTTTTAGCATGTCCCTTGTGGCAGGTATGCAGTGTCAGTGGGACAGGCAGCAGAGTGATTAAGAACCAAGCCTTTGGTCCCAGAGTTGCCTAGATTTGATTCTCACCTGTACTCATACATAATAGCATTTGTGGCATTAGGTAACTAAGTTAATCTTTGTACCTCAGTTTCTTTACCTATGAAATGGAAACAGTAAGATCTACCTCACAGGGTTGTTTTGAAAATTAAATGAGACAATTCATGTGAAGTACTTGGTCAAGTACTTGACGTAAAACAATATTGAGTTGGTCAGGGATTTAGCTCAGTGGTTCCGGCGCCTGCCTCACAAGTGCAAGGTCCCAAGTTCGATCTCTGGTACCAAAAAACAAAACAAAACAATATTGAGTAAAGCTAGCTCCTGTTATTTTCATCATTAATATATTGTTAAAGCATTTTCAGATCTGATTAGTTATGCTTATCTTTGACCTGAAGTATTGAATTTATTGATTCAGTAATACTTATGGTAATACCTATTCAGTATAGAAGTCTGTGAAGTGCTTTGATTCCTTGAAGAATGCTCTATAAAAATTCAGTGTCTTTGATTGTATGATGCTGGTTCTCAAACCCAGGGCCTTGTGTATGCTGCGCAAGCACATTACCACCAAGCCACATCCACAGCCCAGTGTTTTTGATTTTAAAAATTAAATAAAAAATTGAAATACTTTGAATGATAAGCATTGTCCTTTGTAGACAATCTGATTGCATTCATTAGTTCATTTCTTCTTTCATTTCTTCATTTGTTCCACATGTATTATTTAACCACTATGTTCCAGGCCCTGTGCTAAATGTGAAGATGGGAGAATAAACAAGATATATCTTCTGTGGTGAAGGGGTCCATATCAGTGGAATTCGTAGCCTTTTAAAACTGCAAGGATCTTTAGAGCATATGTATTCCAACTATCATATTTTATTCAAGATTATCTAAGGCTGAAGAAAGGGGAGTGATTGTTACTCAGAGTCACACAGCAAATCAGAGCTAGAGCTGAACTAAAATCCATGTCTTCTGACCCCATCTAATACTTTTTCATAATGATCAACTCTGTGGAACAGGAGAAGCAAACAATACTCCACCCCTGGAACAAATGTCTAGGCATCTTGCATTGTTTTCTTGATGGTGTTAAAATTAAATTCACATCTCCCTCTAAAAGGTTGTTTTGGTTAGGTATATTTGCAAAGCGCTCATACTCAGTTTTGCTTTGGGGTCTTTGATGTTCAAAATATATATTACTCATTTGTCAAATGTTTATTAAGCATCTAATGTATGCCAGCCCCTGTTGAAAGCTTTGGGGATCTGGCAGTGAATAAGATAATCAAGATCTATACTCTGTCCATTTTGTCACTGAGCTTACATTCTAAGAGTGAGGAACAATTTAACAGGTGATAGATGCAATGAAGAAAATGTAACAGACTATAATAGAGGTGGGGTTGGATCAACTCATTACTTTTGGTTTGGTGATCATTGAAGGAAAGCTTCTCTAACCCTTTGACTCTAAGCGTTGGAGATGAGATGCAGATGATAGAATAGAAAACCTTTCAAAGTTTTGGAAGAAAAGGATTCCAGGAGAAAGGGAAGATCTAGTGCAAAAGCCCTAAGGTAAAGTGAATTTGGTATAATGCTGAAGCCCTGCTAAGGAGTTTGATTGTATAGTAAGTACAAAAGCAAGTAATTGTACAGTTTTTAGCAGGGGTATGACATGAACTCTGATCCTCTTTTTTAAGTTATATCTAATAATGATGAAAAAGAATGTGACAAAGAAGTACAATATTTACTTACACAAAGGCCCATAGCTAACGTTTGTCTACTGATGTTTTTATTGTTTACAGGACAAGTTTTGGCCTCTTTGGTACTTGAATGTTTTCACTACTCTCATTTTCAATACAGTTCATTATCCTGTGACCTAAACAAATTACTACCCTTTTGAACCACTAAAGAGGCTTAAAATATACAGTATCATGGTATCAGCAAATTAATTATTCTCTTTGCAGATAGTAAAGAACAAAATTTGACCTAATTCTCTTAATAATCAAATGGAAGTGTTCTTTAAAGTCTGTCTCCTGAATTTGGCAGTAGACTTTAGTCTCCTTTGTAGAAGTGTCATTAAGGAGTGGAAAGATCACTTTGAGTTGTACAAGACTTGATTTGAATCCTGGCATCAATTCTGATAGCTGTGTGACCTTGATTAAGTCTCTTACCTTCTTAGTTTCCACATTTGTAAAATGGAAGTAATATTTTCCCTATAGTATTACTATGGGGATATAATAGAATATCATATATGAAAGTACCCACCACAGTGCCTGGCATATAGTAGATTTTCAATAAATGTCAGTTTTCTTAGTGGTGTTGGAGAAATCCTAACATTACCTGTTTTTACCATAAAGATTGTCTCCCGCATCTTCTCTTTCAGGCCATTCCTCAGTATGCTATTCCTTGTCACTCCAGCTCCAATGTGGTTGTGGAGCCCAGTGGGCTTCTTGAGCTAAACAACTTCACCAGTCAGCAGCTGGATGATGATGAGACGGCAATGGAACAGGACATAGACAGTAGCACGGAGGATGGAACTGAGCCTAGCCCCTCTCAGAGTTCTGCTGAACGGTCCTAGTGTTTTGGATAAAGGAGTGCACTTTAAAACCTGCTTGGTTACCAAGTGTCCAGGGAAACTCTTGAATTCTAATGTCAAAAAAAAAAAAAAAAAAAAGCACTTTGCCCGTACTTAGGCTATGACCCTGAAACAGCAATATTTCAATAAGATATTGCTGCAGGAGTAGCATTTTAAAAAGATAAAACTCACAGGGAAATGTACTTTTTAAAAAAATTAGAAAAAAGGCGAAAAAAAAAAGAGATGTACATCTACAGAGATTCAAGACCTGATATTCTTTCTCTGTTGGACCGTGGCAAATGGAAAAGTTTCATCTTTCAGTGGAAAGAGACTTTTCCTGTGAATGTTTCCCATCTGGTTTCCATTGAGCAAATTGCCATCAAAAAGTACCATCAAAAAAGGAGAATGTGAATAGTTTGTATTTTGAAATGATGTGTCATGAACAGTTTTTAAAGGTTTTGTATGTTTTTGCAAATCCTTGGAAGTGTTGAACTGCTGGTTAACATTTTATGTTTGCTCAGTTGATAATTAGTTTATAAATATCTAGGAAAATACTGGCATTAAAGAAACCTTTTTGGTTGGCAGAAAACAGATCCTTAACCAGTAGGAAGGCTTTCTGGGTGGCTTGTACATTCTCATTGGTTGTATGCTAATTTATTGTGTTTTTCCTTTGTGCTCTAGGCAGCACACTTGCCTTCTATTTATTTAACTGTAAACATTTCAAAGTAGGCCATAGTCCTTCTGATATATTTCTTGTAAACCAGGATTGTCTCCCCTTCCACCTCCCATCCTTCTTTCAGTCCCCTTCAAGAAAAGTTAGAAAATGTATCATTATGAAGTAGAAGGAAAAAATTTTTTTTCTGGCCCAAAGGAAATGTTAATTTATGTTAAGGAAAACAAATTATTCACTGACATGATGCTGTTTTAATGTTGAAATTGCACATTCATGTTGGAGTGAGACTTTGAAATAATTTTTACATACTTTTGTTTAAGCCCCTTTGAAATGTATAAAAAGTTGATTTACAGTTCTAAATGTAATGTTTTTAAGCATTCTACCTTTTTAGGACACAGTTTGTTTAATCAGAATGTTTTGGTCTTGTGATCATTGTCTGTCACAAATAGGGTGGGGTTAATGGTGTGGGAGGCTAAGAGTTTTGACAAACTGGCAAAGGAAACTATACTTTTCATTTTTAAAATGTAAATAGAAAAGTTTTTAACGGTTTTATATAGATTTCACTATAAATAAGCATTTTAAGACTGACAAATGTTGACCTGTACATACATATATCAGCATAACTGCCCAACTTTTTGGTGCTGAAGTACTGTAAGTAGAATTCATCAAGTCTCCTAATTTTTGCATCTATCTGGAAAGAAAAGCTGTGATACTATGGTTAATAAATTCCCACTAAAGTGACACTGAAGATTTCAACACAAGCATTCATAAGATGCACTGGTCTCTGGTGGTTGTCAATTTCTATGCTGGGTGGTAGTGACTTACCCATAGATGGAGCTGTTGGGTATCATTTCATTGTACAAAATTCATGTTTAAAAAACTTGTGACTTTGTTTCTATTTAATTTTTTAACTTCTCATAAGTCATAGACTCCTATGAACCTTCACCAAAAAGATATACATGCCAACATACATGTTAGATTTCACATACAACATACAATTATAGGGGTTTATGGGCCCCCGAGCCTATCCATGTATTCCAAGTTAAGCTCCCTCTTATGATTAATCCATTACTTACAGGTGTAAGTTTTCATAAGATAAAGTATCTTTTAAATATTCATGGATCAGGTAACAAGAACAAACTTAAATAAAGTTATGTCCTACGTATTCTAACAGCATAGCATACTTCTGTCCCTTTAAGAATTTAGCCGTAATATGCTCAACAACTGGAATGGCAGGTGAAACTGCATATCAGTAAGTTTTAAAAATACTTTCCTTTAAAGGTGCTAATTTCAAGTACTGCATGAATTTATCAACAAATATTAACTGGGCTTCTTTTTGGTGCCAGGCATTGTTCTAAGCACAAGGGATACTGAACAAACACCAAATTCCTACCCTTATGGAGTTTATAAACAGGAGGGATCAAGGGAGGAGGAAACAGTTTCTCAGTTTAGTGAGTTAATGGTAAAACCATCTAAAAATCTTAGCATTGTACTATTGGCATTTTCATATTTAAGTCTGTAAAATTAAATCCTCTATGAATTGTTTAAGTCACATTTAAGTCATCTGTGAATTATATTCAGATATGCAGTTCTACAAAATTATTAGAATCCTAACAGCTATTAATTCATGATAAGAATTCATTTGGTTTAAAGTGCCTAGTATTTCAGAATATGAACTGAGGACTGTATATATAGATATACATCATCTCTATTGAGATATCCACATACTATATCTTCACTCATTTAAAATGTACAATTAAATGGTTTTTAGTATTCAGAGATGGGCAACCCACTGCTATAATCAATTTTAGAACATTTTCATCATCCCCCAAAGAAACTCTGTGTCCTTGAACACTTCATCACCACCACGATTCCAGTCCTTGGTGACCACTATTCTATTTTCTGTCTCTGGATTTGCCTATTCTATACATTGCATATAGACTTACTTCTTTCACTTAGCATAATTTCAAGAATCATCCATATTGTAGTAAGTATCAGTGTTTCATTCCTTTTTGTGACCATTCCATCACATAGATATATCACATTTTAAAAAAATCAGTTGTACTCGCTTCAGCACATATACTAAAAAATCAGTTGATGGACATTTACATTGTTTCTACTTTTTGGCTATTTTGAGTAATGTTGCTACAAACACTCTTGTACAAATTTTACTTAATATTTTTAATTCCCATGAGTGTACATCTAGGAATGGAATTGCTGGGTCACACAGATCTCTTTAACCTTTTAAGGAACTGCTAGAGTGTTTTCCACAGAGATGGCGTGTTTTACATTCCTACCAGCAGTATAAGAGGGCTCCAGTTTCTCTACATCCTAACACTTGCTATTGTTTGTTTTTTTAACAGTAATCATACTAGTATGTAAAATGGTGCCTCATTGTGATTACAATTTACATTTTGCTGATGGCTAATGATGAACATCTTTTCATGTGAATCTTGGGCATTGGTGTGTTTTTTGAGAAACATTTCAAGCTCTGCCCATTTTTCAGTTGAATTTCTTTTTTCTTAAATTGAAAACTTGAAGCATATGAAAATGCTGCTTTTAGCAAAGTAACCTATACTCTGGTAATTAGTTCTTCACTTTTAAAATCTTAGATTAAGTTCTAGTTCTTCCTCTCTAATGTAACAAATTAATCTTAACTTGTATAGTTTGAGTGGAAATCTTGCTTTTTAAATATACTTCTTTGTAAGATTCTCATAATAGCCTGCAAGAGTAGAAATAGAAAACAGGATAAAGGAAATAGCGGTCAGGTGGTCTGGATTTGAATCTCAGGTTTCTCTGGTTATTGCTTATATGAATTTAACCAAATAATACTCCTGAATATGCATAACAAAGTATTTTGGACCCATAGGCTAATTGTGAAGATGAGGCAGTGTGTGTAAAAATTCTAGGCACAGAGGTACTCAGTACAGTGGTACCTCAGTTCACACATTTAATTTTTTCCATGATTCTGGTCACAAAACAAATTGGACAAGAACCGAATCAAATTCAGTGGATAGGTTCAGTGTTGATCTTACGGGGAAATTTGATTTGGTTCTCATCCAGTTTGGTTTGCGACCAGAATCATAGAAAAAATTTAGTTTGTGAACTAAGATACCACTGTATTATTTTTGGTCCAGTAGTTGTACTACTCCCACCTTAGAAAAAGAGAGCTCAGAGAAGTTAAAGGATGTACCACACCTCACAGATTAAAAGGGCATGTTTGTGCCACCAAACAGGATTGGCTTTTGGAGGAGCTTACTGTAGGAGTAGGATGGCATAGCAAAGCTACTCATCAACTTTGAATGCCTTCACACACAACTGCTCAATTCAGGGATTTTTTTTGTTTTGTTGGTTTTTTTTTTTTTTTTAGTTCAATTATGTCTCACAAATCTCATAGAAGAGGAAGTACAGTGAAACAGCACCATTATAAGCAAGTCCTTTCCCAGAAAGAATAGTGAAAAAACAATCTGCTGCCTCTGCTTGCAGGTTTGCAAGACTGAGTAATACTTATCGACCTATATACTGAAAAAGAGTTGAAGCACAATAGGTTCAGATTTTCTTGTGAGAAGGCTCACATCACCTCTCTTCTGTGCTTACAAGTTTACTAACTGAAAACATGTACTTTGCTTTTTTTTTTAACTCAAGAAGTCAGAGTTTGAATCCTCACAAACTGAGTGAACTTGGACAAATTCTTTTTTAAAAAGTTTGAAACAACAGAGGGTAGTTATAGCACCATATTATCTAATTCTTCCTCTAAAAACTGATAAGCAGCCTTTTCCTGCTTGTCCTGTGTCACTATTTTTTTTAATCTCTTCTATTGGCAACAAATAGTTCATGGGTACTTTTTTTTTTGGTACTGGGGATTGAACTTGGGTCCTTGCGCTTGCGCAGCAGGCAGCAAAACCACTGAGCTAAATCCCCAGCCCATGGGTACTTTTTCTATGTGTAGACTTAAGGGATGGAGGTGTGAGCTTGGATTGGGGGAAAGGATGAATCTACTCTCAGTTTTCAGCCTAGTAAAGAGACATATCAAAGAATTGTAACTTGGTGTATTAAATGAAGAACTGGGATGATAGAGATATAGTGCTATGATAGAATATAAATAGGGAGGTTAAGGAATGTCCTTCAAGAAGGAATTTGTGAACTGTGATCTGAAGAAAGAAAGAACTAGGATTTAGGCAGACAGGAGGAAGAAAGCTGTCCAGGCAGATAGGATAGCGGGTACAAAAGCCTGTGGGAGAGGAATTTTGAATAGGTCGTTGAGGCTACAACATGAAGAGTAAGGCCAAAATGGAGAAAGAAGAAAGTGGAGACCAAACTGAACTTGCAGGTTATGATAAAGGTGTGTCTTTAACTGAAAGTTATTGAAAAATTTTAAGCCGCTAGAGCTGGCAAAATGAACTAATAATATATTTACACAATATTTAGAGCCATGTTGGTTGATAAAAGAGAAAAAACAATTGGCATTTTTTTATGTTAGTCATTTCCTTATGTGTGTGTGTATGTGTTTTTTGGTTTTTTTGGTACTAGGGATCGAACTCTGGACCTTGCGCTGATTAGGCAGGCAGCAGCATCACTGAGCTAAATCCTGGCCCCATATGTCATTTTTTTAAACCTCTGCAGTGCTTCCCTAATATAGTAGTATGAATCTGGCATTTAAGGCTCTTTAGCCAAAGTCTCCACCTACATTTTAGGTACATAGCCCATTTCACTACTTCTCCCTATTGCCCACTACCGCACACATGCCTTATCTTAAACTCTTCACTTGAATGTTTCACTCATTCCTCAAAGCTCAGCTTGAATTTCCCCTCCTTGAGCAAGACTGCCCAGATCTTGTCAATGAGGATCCATTTTTCTCTACTGCTGGGCTCCTTTATCATTTGGGGAAGAATACACATTCACTTAGCCCTTAACATTAGTCATTTTCTGTGAATTACTTGGAGTACACAAGGATCATTTGTATGGGAAAGGATCCACTTATTTTGAAATTACAGATTCCTCTGATAGAAATTCTAGGTGTACACCCTCACAGTATGAGGGTTCCTTTGTAATTCCCCACAAGTGCCACATAAAGTAATTGAAGTAAAACATTCTAGCAAGACATTCTTTAAAAAATTAATCTGAAGCCAAGCATGGTAGTGCATGCCTGTAATGCCAACATTGTGGACTCGGCCTCAATTCCCTAATTGGAAAAATATTCTCTTGGGACAAAACTATCAGAATGCAGGACAGGTTACTTCTCTACTTCAGCTTTCTTATTAGGACCATGCTGGGGCTCCTTGGACTCTCCCTTTGTAATGTCTCCTTCCAGTATGTGTAGCACTATGATGAAAAAGACAGGATCTCACTGGCTCCTGAGGCTGAGGCAGGATGGTCACAAGTTTTGAGTCCAGTCCAGAAAACTAGCAGCTTAGTAAAAACCTGTCTCAGAAATAAGGGCTGGGGATATAGCTATGTGTAAAAGCCATGGGTTCAATCAAAAATACCATCACAAAACAAAACAAAAAAATCTTTCAGCCTTAAGAGATCTCACAGTTCTTTTTGTCTTGTGTCAATTCAGTGATTGCTTTTAGAGAGATCATTAATAATCTGGGTAAGATTTACTCTCACATTCAACTCAATGGCATTCCTCTTTAGTCCTTCACAGGATCACCGATTTCCTTGCATTGTGGTAATCACCAGGGTTTGTGCTCAACTTACATCCCTATTACTTTGCACAGTCTTCCTGGAACTTTCATCTGTGCTGTAACTTCAACTTCCATACAAGTTTTAAGTTATTGAATATACTTTTATCAAACACTTGTGTCTCAGGCACTGTTTTTGCCTCTAGGAATACAGTAGTGAACAAAATAGTAAAAAGCATGACCCTGTGTAGCTACATTCTGAA